AGATAAATCCATACAGACAGAAAGCAGATTGGTGGTTGCCAGGGAATGGGGGGAGGAGGAAATGGGGAGTAACTGCTAAATGGGTACAGGGTTTTATCTGGGGGTGATAAAAATGTTCTGGAACTAGACTGAGGTGGTGATTGCACAACATTGTGAATGTACCAAATACCACTGAATTGTTCACTTTAAAATGGTTAAATTTATGTTGTGTGAATTTCACCGCAATTAAAAAAATATATTCTTAAGAAAAAAAAATTAGTACGACACTGATTTCATGAGCAGTTTGATAGCCCTCTCTGGATAAAGTGGGCTAAATGAATTGCCATCGTTATTATTCTTTCTTGACAATAAAGCATTAACTACACAACATAATCTGTTGTAAAGCATAATCGTTTCACATGAAATAACTTTCTTAGATAACCTATCATTTTAATACAGTTTCTAAAACATTTACCCTTTAAAAAGAAACATACCACTATATATGTCCTGGAGCCCTCAGAGGAGTATGGTTGGGGTGAGATTACTTCATTATTTGATTGCGTCTTTCCGGAAATCACTGTAGCAACAGGCTTAGATTTAAAGTCACCATTTTTAACATTATTTTTACAGGTTTTTCTTCATGAGGAGGAAAAGAAGAAAAAGTTATTATCAATATACTGAAGATTAAAGGTTTTTAAGTGATGCACAACAGATCCGTATTACACTCCCTTATAGAACAGCACCATTTACAGAAAATCATCTTCTAAAAATCTAGGGGACATTCTACAAAATAACTAACCAGAACTCCTCAAAAATGTCAAGGACATGAAAAACAAGGAAAGTCTGAGAAACTGTCACAGACCTGAAGAGACCTAGGTGATGTGACGACTCAATGTAATGTGGACTGGCTCCTGGTACAGAAAAAGGACAGTAGTGGAAAAACCAGTGAAAGTCAAAGTATGGAGTTTAGTAACATACCAGCGCTGGTTTCTTAGTTTCGACAAATGTACCGTGGTAATGTAAAATGTTAATGATGGGGAAACTGGGCAAGGGGTACACAGGAACTCTCTGTACTATCTTTGTAACTTTTCTATAAATATAAAATTACTCCAAAATTAAAATATTATGTTAAAAAGTCTTTGGGAAATCGCCTCATGTAACGTAAGTATCAGGGTAAGTTTCGTCATCAAGTGTCTCACTTGTAATAAGAGCAGAACTGCTTTGCCGAGCTTGAGAATAAAAGTATTGGTATATTCAGTTGACTTATAGTGTAAACATATAAATGAATAATATCACCAACTGTTTTACTGTATAGTTTTGAAAACTGGGTTAAACCTCCAGGGAATTCTGGTGGAACCTGGAGCCCAGTGGTGCAGAAGGTCAAAGGTCTGTTTGGTGAGAAATTATAGATAATGTGAACAGAAGGATGATCCTTCTTTGTCTCCTGAGGCCTGTGTAGCACTGCCTCCTCTCCTCCCAAATCTAATACGCCACAGAAGGAGAAGCCAAAGAGGCAGTGAAGGTCTCATCCAGTCCCAAGTCTTAAATCCTGCTACTTATGACACAAGAAAGGAGCCCTGGTGGCACAGTGGTTAAGCACTTGGCTCCTAACTGAAAGGTCAGTGGCTCGAACCCACCAGCTGCTCCACAGGAGAAAGATGTGGCAGTCTGCTTCTGTAAAGATTACAGCCTTGGAAACTGTATGGGGCAGTTCTACCTTGTCCTACAGGGCCGCTATGAGTCAGAATCAACTCATTGGCAACGGGTATGATGCAACAACAGCTGTTTGGTGAAGACAGAACCTGCTAGTTAAAGAAAGGAATTCTTTTCCTTTTGAGAAGTTATATGAATAATGAGGGAACCTTAGGGAAGCTCTCAGAAATTTGGGCACTATTTTTTTGATGTAAGTATTATCTTACATAGTAAATAATGTAATAGGTTTCTTAGATAATCTCTCATTTTAATATGGTTTCTAGGACAGATCTTTTTAAAAGAAACATACTCTATGTGTCTTGGAACCCTCTGAGGAATGTTACAGAGGGTTCTCTAGATTTCTGATTTTAGCAAATAAGAACATGTAGTCTAGCACACAATGTTATATTTTAGTTCATGTTTAAAAAAAAAAAAAAAGAAACTCACCATAAATTCTCGCATATGAAAATGATAGATGCTAGACGCTACCCCAGATAGTGCCAACAGTTTGCACCTGACTGCTAACCTAAAGGTTGGTGGTTCAAACCCACTCAGAAGATAGGCCTGGCAATCTGCCTCCATTAAGATTATGGCCAAGAAATCCCTATGGAACAGTTCTACTCTAACACATGGGCTAACCATGAGTTGGAATCAACTCCACAGCAACTAACAACCCTCTTTTACTCCATCTATTTAGCCCAGCTATTTGCAAGGGAAGTATCTTACGCCTTTGTGGCCTCCAAAAACAAGGAGATTTGGTGCTTTATGTAAGGCTGCCTCAGGATGCTCCTCACAGATGGTCTTTCTTCAGGCCTTTTGCTCAGCATTGTTCTTATCAGTTCTGCCAACTCTGGGCTATAATCTTTTGGCACTGGTGGCAGCTGCAAAGAGAAGTAATATCACAATTATGACTCAATGGTCTTGTGCAACAAAGTAAAAGAAGGCAGAGGTTTCCCAATACTTATGTAAAATCATATATACACCACAAGCAGAAAATAGCCAGTGTATTAGTCTACAGGAAGCATACTGGTGTCCCAGTTATAACACCAAGTTGTAAGATTCCAGAGTATATCCATCAGCCCAGCAATTCCATTTGAGGACTTTCGCCTTCAGTAAAAGAGCATGAGTTTCTAAAGATATATATAGCAGTATTGTTCTTGCTGTCGTAAATGACTGGAAACAACCTAAATGTCCATCCATAGGGAACTTGTGGAATAAATTATGGAACATCTTCTTACAGAATACTAGGCAGCCACTTAAAAAATAAAAAAGGTTTACAAGTATCAACCTGGAAGGCTATCCCTCATATATTAAGTCAAAAAAGGAAGTTGTGGACCAATGTGTACAAGCTGATTCCATTCTTTTTTTAAGTATCTGTGTGTATATGTGCACATATGCACCCAGAATTATGTCTGTATAAAGATGGGAAAAGTCAGGAAGGCCAAGAATCAAACTGCTTGCTAGCAGTGGCGATAGGCGTCGATAGGAGGAGAGGGAAATTTCACCCCTTTCTTGTTGGATTCTTTTAAGTAGCGGAATGAAGGGCAATTTTTACTTTTTTGTGTTTTTCAGTATTTCCAAATTAAAAAATTTAATGGGTCTTGGTATAATATTAAATTTATGTTTTAAGGATTTATGGCCTTAAAACTTAATGGTGCTTGGATGCCTGGCATTGCATAAGGCAAATGGCCTCATAAAGTTAGTCACTCTGGTGTCCATAACTTACACGATGCTTTCTGCAATTCTCAACTAGTTGTCAGTGATTGGAACAAGTTCAAACAAAGTGGACTCATTTTAAATGGTGTTCATTTAACCATAACCAGCTTAGAAGATGATACCAATAGCCTCTCAGGGTACCTGCAAGGTACAAGGTAGAGGTTTTCAAAAGTCTGATTCCTTTGAGTTATTAAGCCACCTTTACAAATTAATATTAAAAAATTATCAATCTTCTTCTCCTCCCCACAGAAGGGATCCACCCTTCCTAACTAGCCACCCAAAGTCAATTTTTACTCACTTTTGCCGGTAGCTATTTACAAAGCTGCATTAAATAAACCTTGCTTCAAACATTAAAAACAATTCATTCTGGAATATTCTTTACCTTTCCTTCAATAATCCGATAAACTAAAGAATTCATGTCTTTTGCATTGAAAGCATGCTTCAGGGTAGCCATTTCATACACACAGCATCCTAGAGCCCAAACATCAGACTACAAAAGAAAAACAGTAAAGAGTTCAATGTCATCCCGAGGTACACCCTTCAGCTAAAGATTAGACAACCCCATAAAACAAAACGAGACTAATGGGGCACACCAGCCCAGGGATAAGGACTAGAAAGCAGGAGGGGACAGGAAAGCTGGTAATAGGGAACCCAAGGTCAAGAAGGGAGAGTGTTGACATGTTGTGGGGTTGTTAACCAATGTCATAAAACAATAAGTGTACTAACTGTTTAATGAGAAACTATTTGTTCTGTAAACCTTCATTTAAAGTACAATAAAAAAAAAAACGAGTTAAATGTCAGAATGCCTTACTTACCCCCCTTACCACCACCCTGGTGGGTTCTAAAATTATGAATACTTTCCTAGAGTCAGGGGAAGTCAACATGCACAGCCCAGTCCTACCTTATAGTTGTAGGGTTTGTTTGAGAACAATTCAGGACTCATGTAGTAGGGCGTGCCAATGAGGGTGCTAGCCATGTCACAGTGGTTCTCTAACACCCGGGCAATTCCTAGGTCACCCACTTTGATGATGTTTGTTCTTGTTAGGAAGACATTTTGAGTTTTCAGATCTCGGTGAAGGATGTGTTTCTCATGTAAATACTGAAGAGAGAAATAAAATTTCATTAAATACAAATATACTCCTGGCTTCTTATGTACCGATCACAATTGCATGAGTTAAAAAGCCTTAGTTACTTACATACCAAAACATTCTTGCTTTATAATCTCTAAATAAAAGAGCTAATTAAGTATGATGCATTTATTTGCCCAGTACCTTCACAATTATTCCCTGGTGCCTTGACAATTAATACCATTTTAGCATTACCTGGATCCAGTTAAAAATACACTTACAAATTCCTACTGAAGGTAGAAGGACATCTTACACAATGTCAGATGCACACTCCTCTCAGACCCATGAAATCCTCAGCTTAATAATATTTTCAAATATAGCAAGACCATTTCTATTTAGAGAGAGTATCTTAGAATTTAAACAAGGTCAATTAATTCTGGACAAGTCTGCTCAGTTCCACAGTGCTATTTCATAAACAGTCTCACTTCTGGATAAAAAACAAACCAACTTGTTGCCATCAAGTCAGTTCTGACTCATAGTGACCCTACAGGACAGAGCATAACTGCCCTCTAGCCTTTCCAAGGAGTGGCTGGTGGATTCAAACTGCCGACCTTTTGGTTGGCAGCTGAGCTCTTAACCATTGCATCACCAGGGCTCCCACTTTTGAATACATGTATATTAAGACACAAACTTGTTTTGCATTTCTTCCCACTGTGCCACAGCAGGTTAAAGCCCAAATCCCCAGTTTAGGCATATTTTTTAGCTCAGCTTCCTTGCAGCATGACACAGCCTACCAGCCATTAACAACCATAGTCGTTCTTTGATCTTTGTCAACTCTGCTATAAATCGACTTTGCTATGAATATTAAATGAACAGTGAATTGGTTTCCATTGCAATTAGACATGAAATCCATGTCTAGTTCAATACAGGTAGCATTCATTCAGAAACTTTCCAACACTACAGCAAGAGGGATTGGGGGCACTTCATAAATAGATTTACCCAAAGACATTTTTTCATGTAAGCATTTGCGGGATAAATGTCCTGAGATCCACCTGCCATCTCCCTGCCACCCTGGAGCAAGTGGGCTATTGTCAGTCTGGACAGTACCTGCAGAGCCATGGCGATCTGAACAAACCACTCCACCACCTGACTCTCCGGCAGAAGCCGGCCCTTCTGCTCCTTCAGCTTTCGGTATAGATCACCTCCTTCGCAGAAGCCCATGACAATGTAGAGTAGACCATCCCCTCCCTCCCATGACTCTTTGTAGGTGACAATGTTGGGGTGCTTCAGCTGAGACAAGAGCTGTGCTTCCTGCTCAGCAGCTCGCCGCTCTCGGCTGGAGGCATTTCGGAGGTTCAGTTTTTTGATGACATACTACAAAGAAAACACATGTGTTCACAATGGGCAAATAAACATACAGTTTTATAAGTTCACAAGTATTCCAGGGCTCAGAATCAACCTTCTGGAGCCTGTCAAACAACATATTCATTTTGTTATGCACAAAGCACAAAATTGTTTGCTATCGCTAGATACTTTTTGCAGGTTAGACTTACAGCAGGGTGCGGGGTAACAAACAATTAGCTTTTCCGTCTGCATTTTACAATTTCATTAATGGCTAAAAAATGAGTTCAAGTTAGCATACTACAGATCAATCATCAAATCTGTGGTAGTGTTTTAACCTCTAACATTCCCCGCAAAAGGAAGCCATAAAATATGGCTTCAGTGTACAACTGCCAACAGAACAGGTCCATAGTTTGTATTGGATACTCAAAGGGCTCTTTCAAGCCAGAAAGGTTAAAAATCACAGATCCTCAACATACAAAACTATCCCCATTAAAAAAAACTCAGTATCCCCTAACACCTAACACACTGCCCTCAATCAACTGAAAAAACAATACAATTCATTCATTCAACAAACATGTACATAAATGTGCTCTGTAAAATGTAAACTACTGCTCAAATGTTTAAGGGGCGATTATTACAACCAGTCCCCCACCCTCTGCTCAAAAAAATCCAACAGTCCAATGCCTGCTGACCAAATCCCTTACGCCTGACCTTGTGTTCCAGGCAGAGTGACTGGCACCTGAGACAAGGCAGAAGGGGTGGGAGGGCCTTATACTTAGGGAGACACTTCCTCTCAGCTTGCCGGGAGCAGCCTATTTTAAGCCTGTCCTGGTGTAATTATGAATAGTGCCTCCTTTCACTTTCGAAAGTGTCCCAGTTTGTACAATATACGGTCACCCTATTAATAAATCACATTACGGAACTGGTTCATTATCCTGAGGGTGATGGTATAAAGTGTTTTAAGCAACAGAGGAGTGACAAGATCAGATTTAAGTTTTTAAAAAATCACTGTGGCTGCAATGAGAATGATGGACTGGAGAAGAGCAAGTCAGGAGGCAAAGACACCAGGTGGAAGGCCATAGCCATAGCTTAACCAGAGATAATGGTATCCTGGATTGGGGTGGTACCAGTGTAGATGGAGAGAAGGCCTGTTGGCTTAGAGACAAATTAATATAATCAGTGAGGAGGAGGGTGTCAAGTATGACTCCCAGGTATCCAGCGTGGGCAACAGACTGGCTGGAAGTGCCACTCACTGAAATAAGGAACGTGAGAGGAGGTTCGGCGGGAAGATGATGAGTTGAGTTTTAAGTGAGCCCAGCAGCTTGGAGGTCAGATGTTTGAGGCCCTCCATTCAAGGAGCAATGCTTGCTAGGCGCTGCGTTAGGTCCCGGGAATGCATGGTCCCTCAAGAATTGTCATGCCCTGTCCCCCACTCCCACACACCATGTAGATCAAGCACACAAATCAATACTACAAAGGGGATGTACAGGGAGTTTAGGGCGCATACTGGGGCAAGGCTTAGTCTTGGTGGTCAGGGACGATTTCCCTGAAGAAGTGCCATCCTAGACAAGCCCCCTTCAGACCACCCTGGGCCTGGCCCTTGGGACGACGCCCTCGGCGCACTCCTGTAGGTCCCCACGCCGGGCCCCCGCCCCGCCCACCTGCCTGCCGTCCCGCCGATGCCTCACGAGCGTCACCTCCCCGTAGCTGCCCCTGCCCACGGCCCGCAGGTAGCAGTAGGCGGCCAAGGGCATGTTCCCGACGCAGGCCCACAGTCGGGATGCAGCGGCGGCAGCGAACAGGAGGCCCCGCTCATGCCCAGGAGGCCCCGCTCATGCCCAGGAGGCGGCAGC